GGTTTTGGTTTTGTTGATAATTAAAAGTCATTTTGTTTTATTTGTTTTTTATAAAGTTTTTATTAAAAAAAAAAAAAGAAAAAAAAAAGGAAATTATAAAACCAACTCATTTATACAAAAAAACCTTCCATGTGGTTCGAAACAGGTTTGTCAAATAATCAAAATAGTTCCAAAAAAGTAAAATTTTTGATTTTAGATTTTCTAAAATTCTAAAAGAAAGAGAGAGAGAACGAAAGATTTGCGTGTGTCACTTTGGGAGTAAAATTGTTAACTTGTACAACAGAGATTTCTACAATAATAATAACACGCACGACATATCAACAAAATGAAGATAGACAAAGGTCTTAGCTTCAAACTACATCTTGTTTTTTTGTTCATGCATTTACATTTTGGAAGAGTTAAAGGATCTGCAAGACCAATAAAGGTTGCAGTGACTAGGTGTTCTGAACTGCATGACAACCATTTTGTTTATTATTATATAACTAATTATTCCATCATTATATAATAATACCACATTTTGGTTTCAGACTATATTTATTTTTATACAAAATCTGGTCATTATTATTAACAATAGAATATCTATTTATACCAAATAATACTTTTAATAAAATTAAATATGTTTATTAACGAATGCCTAGTCTTTAATTTGCGTTCAAAAAAAAAAAAGTTTTTTGTATTCATTATGATTAATTTAAAAAAAAAAATGGATAACAAACAACGAGTAAGAAAATCAAGAAACAAATCGAGAATTAAGAAAGCAAGTATTATTATAATTGTTATTTCGTTTAGTTCAAGCTCTAGTTATTATATATATGTTATGTTGAGAATAATCTTTTTTTAAAAAAAAAACAGTTTAAATATTTATAAACTTGTTTAGAGCGGATGATTCTAACGAACATAATGGCAATATTGTAGCTCCCTCGATCAATAACAATATAGACCCTTCCATTGATGATAAAATAAATGCGGTGATGATAATGCAATAGGCACTTTTAACAAAGAAGATGATATTGTTAGAGTTCCTTCGATCAATAACGATAAAGATTCTTATATTGACGATAAAAATTTTCAAATAAAGATGATAATGATAATGAAACAGGCGCTTCTAATAAAAATAATGGTATTGTTACAGTTCTTTCGATCAAGAACAATGAAGATTCTTCTATTGACGATAAAAATGATGTAAAAGATATTTTAAATGATGATAATAAATCTAGTACGTACTTTTAATGATGATAATCTAGTGCGTGTACTTCTAATGGAGATAGTAATATTGTTCCAGTCCTTCGATCAATGACGATAAAAATTCTTCTACTGATGGCAATTAGAATGAAGATAAGGATGCATATGATGATGATAATGATGATGATGTTATTGTTGCAGGTCCAATTTCTTTAAATGATGGATCTCTAACAAACTCCGCCATCCCCACAGACCCATGCCATATATAATAGATGGCCATTTTACCTCAGAAGTGTTGAATACCACTTCTTGCCGAATATCTTTGGAATTGATCTCAATACTTCTGGCGGATATATTGTTTAATTACTTAGATTTATTATACAAATAGTAAAAATAATCATTTCAAATTAATTAATTTAAAAAAATTGATTTTAACTTTTCAGTAATTTCACTCCGCCGTACCAATTCTTCGCTGTATAAAATTATAGCAGTTCGTAAATCCTTAATGATTTCCTTTAATAATTTTGCTTTTGTAGTTTATCAAATTAAGCACCATGATTACAACAAAAGAGAATTCATTATTATCACTGGCAATTTGGATTAACTTTTCTTGCTTAATTTCTTATATCTTGGAGAATATGATCAACAGGACGAATATGTGAAGCAACCAACACTTCCAAAATACTAATTGTACAATTTATTCATTTCTTAACAATTAGTAATTATTGAAACAAATAACAATGTTTATTCTTTTCTAATTGCTCTCTCGCTAATGCTGTATAGTAAGAATGATATCAAAGAACTCTTTTAATTTCTTATTGTTGAAAGAATACTCTCATAACTTTTAATGCAGTCAAACATCGTTTCAATGAATCCAATTTCAACAGATTACAATTAAATTCACGTTACAACGAATTTTTAAAATTTTTGTTTCACATAAAAACATATAAATCGCGATTAGTATTTGGTATAACGAATTTTAAATGCAATTTTCTTATGTGCCCATAGGTTCGTTGAAACGAGGTTTGACTGTATTTGTTGACAATTGACTCAAAAAGAAACACTCAGATTCTTCCCGCACAGCTGAATTCCACAACCCTGATTTAAATAATTGGAAAAAAAAGCAACAACTTATATTATTCGACATTTAAAATAAATGAATATTAATATCACTAGTTTTTTCGATTTTTATTATGTATAATATTATAATAAGTCTTCTTTATATGAATACATATGTTGGGTATTAAGCCTATAGAAAATGCCTTCGTCTAAGAACAACATTTCTATAAGAACATTTTGAACCAAATTTTTTTTTGTTATATAAAAATAAAACTTACATTTATATTGTAATTAAAGGACACCAGCTTCGGCTGCAACTTTTGATGATGGTTGTAAGTAATTGCAGGCTGTTTTTTTAATTGCAACAGGTATCCTTGATTGTATTAAAAAAATTTCTGTAAAAATTATTATGAAAATTAATAATACTGATTCAACCTTTTCTGTATGCTATTTTTCATGGTAATAGGAATTCGATTCCTATTCTTCTTGTAAGCAGCACCAATTTCATCATTATCTTTAAATTTATTTGGATATTTACAAATACAAATTTCTAATTGACTCCAAGATACACAATTGGATTCGAGTCAGGAGATTGGCTTGGCCAATTTTTACTTTATTTGTATTGATTCAACTTTTGACAGTGAATTGAAGCATTGTCATCCCGGGACAAACATCCCCCATTGTCAAAACCTTTATAGAAGGAATAACTCCAATTCAAACATTTGAATATAGTCTAGTCTAGCTATTCGTTTTGTAATCTTCCTATATCATATTTTGTGTCAGGTGTTCTTCAAGCACAACCTATCCATTGTAAATCTGTTTTCGTCATTCCACATCACATTTTTCCACTTTCTAAAAGACGAATCCCTTATTTCAATACACCAATCTAAATGGTTAATCATATGCTGTTCGTTAAATTAAAGGCTTGGATACAGGAACATGAGAATAAATATTTAAATCGTGCAAACTTCTTCTAATAGGTTTAGTTGAAATCTGTAAACCTGTATTTTCATCAAATTGGTTTTTTAACTTATTTTTATGGTATCCACTCCTTGGTAGTTCTTCTCTCCTGGAAGTTTTATATTGTTCCGACTACAGTTATTCTTGCAAAACCAACTGATTTAGAAAATATGTGAAATAGTATTATTGTCTTTGTAAAGTGTAATTATTTCTACATTTTGTTTATTTGATTTCTAAAATGTTACAATGTCATTAATTTTTTTTAAAAAATCTAAAACATATAACACGTTTTGTCAGGACGCAAGCTATAACATCCTAGAATTACAGGTATGGTTATTATACAAGTTTTTGGGCAATTAATTATTTTTTGGCAGACATTTCTGGTCAACATAAAAAAACACACATAAGAGGCAAACAAGGTAAATATGCATCATTCATACCCAAATCGCCAAATAGTTATTTTTACAGGATGGATTAAATGATTATAATCAGGGTTGGTATTTGTACTCATACATGACATATACTTGTATCGTATATACTTGTATCGTACTTGTACATACTGTACGAGCTTAAAGGTAAGCATGTGTTGGTTGTCTAATTACAATTTAACATTACATGAGTATCTTGTAACAAATATTTAATTAATATTATCATTATCATGTAGCCAAAATTTTAATGACATCTAGATTTATGCACATCGAGTTCAGCTTTTGTAACAAATCTTTTGTCACATCCAAATACATTACATTCATAGTTTTTTATTCCAAAATGACGTCTTGTATGTATTCGTAACTCACCACTTTGACGAAATGCTTTTGCACATCCTGGATATTTACATTTGAAACTTTTTATTACGAGATGAAATCTTGTATGTTTTTGTAATTCATCATTTAGACAAAATGCTTTTACACACCCTGGATACTCACATTTGTAATTTTTTATTCCAAGATGATATCTTGTATGTATTTGTAATTCACCATTTCGATAAAAAGCATTTGTACATCCTGGATATTCACATTTGAAATTTTTTATTCCAAGATAACGTTTTGTGTGTATTCGTAATTAACTATTTTGGCAAAATGTTTTTGCACATCCTGGATATTCACATTTGTAATTTTTTATTCCAAAATGATATCTCGCATGAGTTGTTAAATGGCTTTTATGAGCGAATGATTTTGTACATACTGGATATTCACATTTGAAATTTTTTATTCCAAAATGAGATTTTGTATGAGCCTTTAAATTTCCTTTTAGATAAAATGCTTTATTACATCCTGGATATTTACATTTGAATTTTTTTATTCCAATATGAATACTTTTGTGTTGATGTAAATTACTTTAGTGGAAATGTCTTTGCCACATCCTGGATATTCACATTTGAATTTTTTTTTGCCATGAAGTTTACTGTGCCTGTTAAGTAAAGTTCTATCACTGAAATATTTACCACAGTTTGAAGCTGTACAAAAAAATCCATTGTTACTTTGATCACTGTTTTCGTTGCCATCCTCGCTATCAATTTCATCATCATTGCCAATTTTATTATCACTATCTTCATCTTCATATATTTCAATTTCATTATCATTATTTGAATCATAAATTTCACTATCGTTTGAATCATTTCCACTTGGATTTTCATCATAATTGCAATTGTTGCTGTTGTTGTGATAAATTTTTAAGATTTCGTTGATTTTATCATCATTATTATCAATATACACCCAACAATCTATTAAACAACCAAATGGAAATATAAATAAATAAATAAAATAATTTGAATTGATTAATAAATTCTTTAAAAAGAATAATATATACCATTTAGAACTTTATAATTCGCTTCGAAATAAATTTTTTTTAAAAAAAAAGAAAATTTATCTATCAATGTAACGCGAATAAGATTTGATAAATTAGTTTTAACAGTTAAAATCCTAAATATTTCATCCAGATTTGGTGATAACTATTTATCACATCTAGAGGTTGGCATTGCACAAGTTTCTTTAATTTTAGTTGTGTGAAAAAATTTAACTGGAAAATCGTTCATTACTTACAAAATAATCACACACATGTTGAATATTATTATCATGCATCCCATAGATACTAAATAAATGATTAAGATCCGATTTTGTTTCATGAAAATACCCAAGTTTTTCAAAAAAACGGCTGTCCTGTTTATATGTTTTGGGTTTACAAAATAGACTACTGTGTCTTGGCCCGAGTGATGTCATTTTTTTGCTCTTTGCGACGAAGAAGGTGCAATCCCAAGCATAACTTAAAATAAATGATTTTTTGTTCTCGAGTAGCAGAAGCTCACATTGCGTTCTCAGTTGTAAGCTTGTTGTGTATTTAATATAATATATTTATTGTATAATATTATGATGAATGAATGACATCTGATGATCATTTATGGTGGTAAGAACACTAGTATTAATTTAATGTTAAGGATGATTGGTGGCAGGAGGTGTTCTCATTCAAATGTAAATTACAATCTCGATTAATATTTCTTATAAAAAAAGCTGGAGCCTGAATGTAACGTTTTACAATATCTAATCGTATAGACAATTAATTACCTTAACTTAATATAACATTAGTTTTTCTAATTAAATAATATTCATATATATTTACTATATCATCATGGTTAATTCCTCACATATAAACTATTAATTAGTTGACCACCGATTTTTAAAAAAAATTTTCATTTTGTGCGACAAACAATATTAAAAAATGTTTGAAATAATAAATAGTTTGCCACTTGAACTTCTGGCTGAAATATTCAAATATATTGAAGATGATGATTACCAAGCATTATACTCTTGTATTCTTGTCAACAAACAATGGCACAATATAAATATTCCAACTTTATGGAAGGATCCATTTGTTTGTATTGGCAGCATCAAAATATTAATTAATTGTATGTTAGAAGAAGATAAGGATTTCTTAACTAGAAATTGCATTGAATTAACATTTAAACTATTGGAGAGGCCACCATTATACAATTATGCTAGATTTTGTACCATATTTTCTGAGCGTTGTGATTT